GGCGTGGCTTGAGGGGTTTGGGAGTGGGTGTTAGGGTCGTGTGGAGCTGGAGCAGTTTGGGGTAAGGCGTTAGGGTCAGGGTGGGCAGATGGGTCTGGGGCTAGGAGTGAGGGCCAGGATGGAGTGGGGCTGGGGGGGAGGTGTCTGGAGCCTGCCTGGAGGGGTGGGCGTTGGGATATCAGTAGGCTGCGTGAGTATGGGAGAACTGGGAGAAGCAAGGGCTGGGGCAGCAGCAGGCTGGAGGGAAGAAGCCTAGAGTAGGCAGTTCAGTTGGGGAGGAGGAGTAGTATTGATGCCTGTTGGGAACTGCGTGGCCTGGATTCACTGAAGTTGTTGTATGGGGAAAGAACAATCAGAATGGGAGCAGGCGAGAGAAAAGCTGAGGAGTTGATGAATCATGGTCTTGAGGAAGTTTTGGGACTTGATTTGAGACAGTCATTTGATATGAAAAAAAACATGGGGCGGGGTGAAGTATGTAAGCAGACCAACCTCTGAGTCATGGAGGTTGACTGGCTAGCTCCTAGAAGGTGGCAGTCTAGAAGTTATCTGCCTGTAGTGAGAGTGTAAAGGAGCAGTTTCTGTTGAAAGTCGAGCTGCTGAAGAGATTTTGTTAGCATGCTAAAGAGATGGGTGTGCTGTTGGGTTGTTAGGAAACAGGAGAACCTTGACTGTTCCCATCGTGTTGGCAACAGCCTTGCTACTGAATGGTTTGGGTCATAATGATGTGTTCTTAAGCATAGGAAGACAAGGATGGAAGAGGTCTCCAGTACAGTGGCAGAGTAATAGGATGATTTGCTGCAACTCTGAATGGCTTTGCAGTGATTTTTGCTCATGTGGTGAGTTACCTACCTCCTAGAAAGCAGAACTCCCTTACAAGTGCAAGGATGGCTGGAGCAGTTACTGTGATCTCAAGATGCGCTAAGCTGGCATACACAGCCCTCCTCTTCTGCGCTTCTTTCTGGTGGTTTCCTCCTTTCCTGAAGAAAAGGTGTATGATGCAAAGTGAAGAACTCTTGTTTGTTTTTAGAAAAAGTTAAATGTGGTCAATGTCTTGTCTAAAATTCTTGTTGTTAGGTACTGATCACATTCCTTTCCCAGTCCTTTTTTGCTTTAAAGAGCCCTGTCCCACTGCACTTTCCCCAAAATCCAAGTCTAGGGAGCTCATCTTCTGTTGCAGTGAAAGTTTTAACAAGTAAACAGCTGCTTGCTATTACTGAGGGTATACTGGAACTCTTGAAAGCAACCTCTGGTCTGGAAGCCACAGGGATGCTGTAGTGCAATTCTGTACTGGCAAGCAAAGTCTGAGTGGAGGCAGAGCAAAAAAAGGAATTTTCTTACCTGTGCAAGGCAGTCATACTCTATGATCACTTCTCATATGGAAGAGATGTGTAGGAGAGATGTTTATGACACACTGCAGCTTCTAAAAATTCGGTCACTTACTTCTGAAAAACAATCAGATCTACACATCAATTGTACAGGAATCGAGAAACAATTTTTTTTCATTGGCTTTTTTTTTTTTGCACATGCACTGTGACTAAAAGAATACTTTTATGTTTCTGACTCCATGAACTACAACTTTTGAGGTCATTTTGTGGAATTGGTACTGATGGATGCACTCTTAACTGGTGGAATAGTGAAACTATGTGTTGAACTAAGAATATCTGTTTCTTTGGGGGGAAAAAAAAAATAGGTCAACATGTATGAACCTCACAGAATTACTGACTTTTTGTAATCTTCCACAAATGCTTAGGTAATTTTAAAGAAGTTAAAGTAATCTGTGATTTTTCTAATAGCTTTTTATTTTTTCTCTTAGAAAGATAATGTGCTGAGTATATCATAAGTGTACAGAAATCACTCATGTCTATGTAAGCTTTTTGTCTTAAGTATGGTTTTCCAGGATTTCTGGAGCAGACATCAAGGGTGTGGGGGGTGTGTGTGCACTTCCTGATACTGTTGTTATTATTTTGAAAACACTTAATGTGATTTTTTTTTTTTTTTTGAGGGGGGATGACAGAACATTTATTCTGTGTTGAAATCTTGCAGTGAGTGTCAATGGATAAATAAATTCATAGTGAAGCTTGGCTGATGTGGCCTAATATTCTATCAAATATTAAAAAATGCATACTTGTTAGGAACAAAGCTGTTGGTGTTATATATTAACATATGCTTCAAATACGATAATGCTATTTTGCTGATATAGCTTGCATGTGAAATCTGTAGTTAAAATAAGGAACAACATGTATGCATGATGAATGGGAAGAAGAGGGCAAAAGCTAGCAAGGTCAAAGTCTTCAAAGTGAACAAAATGGCTTTGTTCAAATTCTTAGTTAACGTGTCAGAAGTGAATCTCCCTTTTGAAAAAGGGTAGCAGAACACTGTTCAAATGATATACCTGTAATAACTTGCACCTGTTTGTGCGCATTTCAGGAGACATTTCACAACTGACTTTATGTTGCAGCCTCCGTTTGTCCTTGGTATCCAGTTAATAGCCTAGGGTGGGAGGTGACCTTCAACAACAACTGAAAAAATATTTGGGAAAATGCAAATTCCTTTACTGGAACATGACTATACAGTGTAGCACAAACTCAGTATTTATAAACCTCAGAAAAAGTAAAAGGAGCAACATTGGTGTTGTGGCCTGTCAAACTCTTTGACAACCATTTATTAATCAGGTCTCAAAAACAGTAATCTGTTTGATTATGGTGGAGCAGATTATCCAAGATACAATTTTGCTCATTTTGGTATCATCCCTTTCCTGGACTACCATGATTCTTTTCCTTGTTCTCTAAAGAACTAGGAAACCTATCTTGATCTAATAAATCCTGAAAGACAAGAAAAATGAGGTTACACAATCAAAAAAGTACTTAAGAAACCTCTGAATCTGTTTCTCAAAAGGATGCTTTACAGAGAACTTTCTTCCCTCAAGGTAATCATTACATTTATTTTTTTTTAAGGTTAAAGAGAAAACTGAAATAATGACAAGAAGTTTTGCAACTTTTCTTAATAATTAAATAATACACAAACAATCTTGTTGCTGCTTATAGAGAAACCATGCCATTTTTGGGCCAAGACTGGAGATCCCCTGGATGGAGATGGGTTAAAACAGAAGATGGATGGAAACAATGTGAATCCTTCAGTCCTGCAATTGAGGATGGGAATAGTCAGCTGAATGATATCAGTCACACTGTGTAAGTTTAAAAAAAAAAAAGTGATTCTGCATACGTTAATAGCAGGTGGGAGGGTGAAGATTGACTTCATTTCCATTCAGACTGCAAGTTTTTGTGGTAGACATCATCTGCATATGCTAGAAGTGTACAAATGCAACTGTGTGTTTTATTTAGTTGGGCAGACAGGAGACCTCTGTGGAGATTGTCTGTCTTTTGTCATTGCTTCCTGAGTTTCTTACATTAGGCAGATAGATCCCATCTTATGTTATATATCTTCAAAAATAATAAAAAAAAAAACCCAACCAAACAAAAAATCTGTCAAGTATTACTTAAATATAAAAGTGATACTTATAAATTGCAAGTTCAACAGGCATATTGAAATGTTACCTGGAAGTGAATGAAGACTTTCTGCTGATTGGGTGTTGGATTGGGAGTGTTAATGGCCATCATATAATGCCTTTGCTCCAAATACACAATTAATGGTAGTTTTATGGTAATATGTGACTGTATGTGCTCCTGTAAAACAGGTGAGAAAGATACTAGTTAAATAGAGTAATACTTGAGGCAATGCCCACAGACTAATGTGATATAAATAGCTTTGTCCAAACAAATTTCTACTTGGTTTCTTCACCAACAACTCATTCTCAAGGACAACATTTTTGGTCATAAATTTCAGCATAATGTGTTCATAATGAGAAAAGGGAACATTCATGATTTTGCTGTTAGTCCAGTAAATGATACAGTAACTGATCTGATTTAGAGGGAATTTAGTGGCAAGCTAGGACTTCCTGTACTTGTACACCTGTGTTTTCTAAATTTGTGAAATAAACCTCAAGAGAGTTATGAAGCAGTGAAGGTTTACTATTAAGCTTATCTTGACCTACTGTTTTCTTAATGTCTTTTTTATTTGTGTGTTCATCTGTCACTGATAATATTTAGGTTTCTTTTTCCACATAGTCTGGCCACTGTGGATACAAAAACACTATGCTTCTCTGGAAGAGTGTTCAGTAAGCCTCCAACATAAAAGTTGTCTCAAATACCTTTGAAAAAATTGAAAAAAATTGAAAAAATACCTTTCTTCCCTCTTTCATATATCTTTAATAATATAGTTGGCAAATGATGGGAAATTAATTTTTGATAGCTATTTGCACAGTTACTAAATAATACTTTGTAGGTTGCTCTAATGAATATTGTTTAGCAAGTATCACATAAATGATAATTGTTTTTGTGAATATCATTAAGATTTTTGCTCTTCTGATCCTAATTATATGTTGAGATGTAGTTATCTTTTCTCCAGAGAGTGAGGTGAGGTATTTTTATTGCTGCTTCAAGCAAAAATGCTAGATTTTGGAGTTTTTTCCTTAGTCATAAAAGACCTTAGTATTGAACTCCTCTGGAGTTGTCTTGCTAGAAACAGATCAAAATCAACTGGTTTTGGAAAGATGCAAGGGTATTAAAGTTCAGGACAAAAATAGTTAAATTAATTTGAAGGGACTGGCCATGAAATGCTCTGGAAGGAAAAAAAAGTTTTCATTAAATCTGACATGTTTCATGATTTGGGTTTCTTAGGCTAGCTTGCCAATTTGTCCAAATCCGAAACTTGGGGAGCAGCCTAGTCTGCAGCAGATACCCTTGTCTGTAGCGATTCCCCAGTTCCCCATCTTCATCTTGCACTTTTTGCTACTTGCCAAAGCCAAACCATGCCATATTCTGTAGCCTTTTTTTTTTTTTTTTCTTAATTCTGCTTCTGTCTATTCGGTTAGAAATGTTTATTGTCTGAACTTAGACTACAGAATTCAAGTTGGTACTTTTTGCCAAAGTAGCACTGCTTGGGAGTGATTTCACTACAATTTGAACTTTGGATCTATGAGTTTAATTGATGTTTGTCAGCAAAGGTTATGTCTATCTGCACAGTATTATGGAACAATTTAGGTTGGAAAGTACCTCTGGGTGTCGTCTTGTCCAAACACATACTCAAAGCAGGGCCAACTGAGGTCAGGTTGTATAGGGCCTTGCTCAGTTGAGCTTTGTGCATTTCCAAGAATGGAGATTCCTCTTTGGGCTCCTGTTCCAAGTTCCATGATCCTCACTGATATTTTTGGTGCCCCCGCTTCTAACAAATCTTATTAGAATTTCTATTATCACAGGTTGTGTCCATTACCACTTGACTTATTACTGCCCGCTTCTGTTAACTTTACAGTCTAGCTTTATCTTCCTTATAACCTCGTATTAGATATTGACAGTAATCAGATTTCCCTCCACCACCACCTCTTAACACTGAACAAGTTAAGTTCTCTTACCCTCATGCATCGTGTGCTCCAGTACCTAATGACCTTGGTAACTCCCCACTGGACTTGTTCCAGTATGGCAATGGTTTTATTGTATTGGGGAGCCCCAAACTAGACACAGTACTCCAAATGCAGTTTCTCATGCCAAATAAAGGGGAGATGATTACTTCTTTCAGTCTGCAGGATACACTTCTGTTGACTCAGACCAGGGTGCAGTTGGCTTTTTACAACACAAGGGCACACTGCTGACCCATGTTCAGCTTTACTGTCCACAAGACCCCTGGCTCCTATTCTGCAAAACTGCTTCCTATCAACTCTGTACCCAGCATGTACTCAGGCACAGGGTTCTTCCATCCCGTGTACAGGGCTTTGTATTGAAGTACAGCAGTGTGGTGCGTCTTGCTGGCTGGTTCTCTCTACCATCTTAAGCTATTTGGAAACAATTCTCTGCGTATATTGAGTAGACAGTTCAGCTCAGGATATCTGTTAACATGCTATAGCACTGGGTAAGGATGAGGCTTAATAAAATACTTCCTTGTGGATGAAACATACAGTAAACACTCTATAAGTACTTATTTGTCTCTTTTTAAACTGCCTTATGAATAGGCATGATGCCAGCCTGGCTGTCCTAAAAGGATTTTATTTATTTTTGCTCATTAAATGAAATAATACTTTTCACCAAAATATTCTGTAGAAATCTATGCTGAAGGTAGTACTTGAGTATTATATTCCAGGGAGCAGTTGCAGCAGTTTTCCTTTAGCAAGAAATAAAGTCATGCTATGTAGTTGACTGAAGCCGTGTTTACTATTACTTGTATTCTCTTCTGTGAAAGTATAGATAGACTTACATGCCAGACTTTGTCAATTACAAGTACTTTCCCTTCAGAAATTAAAGATCTACTCACAAACAGATTCAGAAATAAACCTTCAAGACATGTAAATAACTTATATAAATTGAAGTATATGGTTTTTTTTAAATAGAACTTTTTACCTCATTGAATTAGTCATCCAGTGCCTTGGTGAATCCACTTGATGAATTAGTCAGAAATAGTGGACCTAATGATAATCATCCTTGAACAAACAGTCACTTGTGCAGGAACAACTTAAATGATTTGAAATAATGTTTGAATAGTTGCACTTCAAATTAGTTCCATTTATGGAAACTGAGGTGGAAAAACATGAGACCCTCACTCCTGTAGCTCTTATTTGGATAATTAATATTATTATGTATGTGAAGAGTGCCTTGTATTCAAGGTATACAGTAGCTGGATATGTGGTTGAGGCAGTGCTCATTCAAGCTCTGTGGGCTGAATGCTGGCCATGACTACCTGCAGTTTGTATCTGTAAATCCTAACACAGACAGACATTTCCCGTGCCGTGGCACTGTGTCATTGAAGCTTGGTGGGGGAGAGAACAGCACTGACTTACAGAATTGTATATAAGTAGCTCTCAATAGCCTTCAGTTTAGGAGTAAAGCTGGTTTATGCTTTCCCTTTGAGGTAAAAGAAAGAGAATCAGACTAATCTAGTAAGATTTCAATGATGGTGATATTCCTTTTCTTGTGTGTTAGGCTGGTAGGAACTACTTGGGCTGGCAGGGTAGTCATTTGAGTCTGCGGTGTCTCTTGTCTAATTCCTTAAGTGAGATTTGGTGTTCACAAAAGTTGTTCTGGCACTGGATAGAAGACCTTGGATTTGAATCTAGTCTTAGATAATTTTGGCATTTGACAAATATATTGTAATGTTATTTAGGGCAAGCACTTACCTTGGGATTTTCCATGTGTGGTCAAGCTTTGAGTCTCTTCTAAAACACTTAGCATGTCTCTGTAGGTAACTGCATGACTTGAGGGCATTCCTTCTTCCACAGCATAAGAAGCAAGGGGATGAGGAAGAACAGTTGGAGTTTGGATAGCCCTGTTGAGCTTTCCAGATTTTAAGTGTCGTACCCAAGAGATTATTAAATACTGTTACAAAATTAATTTTTTGAAAAAGCTGAAATTCTTGCATGCTTTATGTAGGGTATTGTAGTTCTAAGGACACCAGGTACTTTGCTTTTGGAAGCTTTAGAATAATTTTTTTATGAAGAAATGCATTGTCAAGACAAGAAAGTAAGAGTAGCTGTAAACTGGTGGTATTACGTATGTATTTAAATCCTTCCAGGTGCACTCAGATGTTATGTGCAGTTTTATGGTAAAAACATTAAATAAGGCTTCTGTTATACCATATGGCATGCGCACGACTTGATTCAGTTTCTTGTATCTTAGCTTGGTGTTTAGGGCAGGATGGGGGCAGGGGTTGCTTTTGGAAATGGTGGAGCAGTGTTGTTACTCATCAGCCAGCTTTCCAGATTTCTGGAAGGAAGGTTAAAGATTTCTGTCCCATTCTTCTGATGTCTGTGGGACCTGTGCCTCATACAAGAGGATCCTCAGAGATAGTAAAATTCATGTTTTTATCTAAAATGGCATTAATTCCAGGAATGTCACAGGGGAATGTGGATGTCAGACAAAGGTATTTGAAATAGCCCTCTTCATCTTCACAATTCTTTGTTTTAATTGACTGTCCTTAAGCTGCTTTGCTTGTTTATCTCATGCTTGAGGAAGTGTATATTATTGGGGGGGCAAGGGGGAGCTTTAAATCACTAAAGATACATTACTGGTCTAAACTGCCTTCTAGGGAAACTTCCTCTCTAGGAACAAAAGAAGGAATTGTGCCAGGTTAACCTTCCTCTTCTAAAGCTGACCTTCAGGAATGCTGCCTCCCCTCCTCTCCCCATTGCACTGGATCAATGGGAACAGGCATGTTTCTGTTCTGCCAGAATTATATTGCAGAGTATCAGGCGATATCTCTCTAGTCTTGTTAGGACAATAAAGCTTGGTCTGGGAGCTTTGGGCTCTGTTTCTCATTCTGTAGCCACTCTTCTGATTCTGTAATAACTTCTCACATGTTGTGGCGATGCAGTCAATATGCTAAAACATTAATTTAATGATTTTAGTGAGCTTAAAAAGAAATTTTCTTTATGTTAGCTTCAGGAAAAAAAACCTGATGGATTGGAAAGTTATATAATAAAAGTAACTTGTCAGTGTTGATGTTCTGCTTTTGTCAGTTGCCAGTTCCTTTTCTCCAAACTTTTTTTTCTGTATGACCAGATATGATATCTGGCAATGTTGCATAGAATATCAAAGTTGTTGAGTCTTTATCCTCTGCTTTAAAAATGGTAAGACATGAATTCAGGCCTTCTCCTTGGATTGAACGCTATCTGAATGCAGAGGTATGCTAGCTTTTTTCAGGATTTAAACCTGAGATGAAAACAATTTTCTGAGTCTTCTCAACTTGTGTGTCTTTAAGCTGAGCTAGCATTTACTGATTAGAGCAATTGAAAAACAAAGTTTTTCTACAGTGTTGCTTAGTCATCCTTCTTAACAGATGGTTCAAGCCTGAAAATTTTAACTGTATAAACTAGTAGCCATACAGTAATAAAATCTGATTTTTGCAACTTAATGCCCAAGTACAGGTTATTTTTGAATGAACTAGCATCCTTCAGTTTTACAGTGTTCAGCTGTTGCTGGTGCAATTTGAAGTTGATGTTGATAGATTCATCTGTCAAATTTTGGATTAAAAAATAATGAGTGGGAAGGGGGTTGTGTACCACTTCCTTGTCAAAGGATAATAATGGGGAAATAAAATAGTCCTACAGTTAAGCTTTGCTACCATGTTTCTTTAGTTACTCTGCTTATCTGTACAAGACTGTGGCCTTCATATGAAGTATCTTCTTTCTCTGTGCTAGAAAAATGAGCACCCGTTCTTACCTGTATTGCTGTTCCTTATAATTATCTGCAAAAATGGAAAGCAAAACTTTATGAAACTGTGTAGACTTTATGTAGCACAGGCAGTTTTTAAATGTATATGAATTTTAGAAAGGTTAGCTTATCCAACAACTTTTTAATAGTTTCTTCATACATAATTTTGTATTTATATATACTCACACTATCTATGTATACACACTATATATATATAAAATTATTCAGTATAGTCTCAGTCTTAGGTTACACAGTTAACTGTCAGAAGTGATACAGGTATAGTTGATTTTGTCTGGGCGAGAGGAGGGTAGACCATGTGGTTCCTGATGCCGTACAAATAATGGATAAAACATTGTTGTGACGCCTAAATTATGTACAGCACTGTGATTCAGGCATTTATTAAAAGAAAGACTTTCTTTGCCCCAAAGTTGACAGTAGTAAGAGAGGTATCTTTCTTTCCTGTCCTTCTGCCCGCATGAGGATGTGCTGTAATTCTTCACTGACTTTTTACATGTGCGTACAGTTCTTTTCAAGGCTTGGTCCATTTCAGATAATGAATTTTTTCTACCCTAGAGCTTTTCAGCCAGCCAGCTGTCCAGTTAATACTGTCTCCTCAGTAGTCTTCCTAAATGTCAGTAATGACTTACAAGATACCTATTAGGAAGATACTTTTGTGTACTTAATCATTTTGACACAGAATTCAACCCCACTGGGAAGAAAAGAGCAAGATAGCTTCTCTTTTAAGATACGTGTTGCTGTAGACCATCAGTTAGAGGAATATCATTAAAAATATGATATTTTTTTTTTCCCCAGCTGGCAGAGTTTAATGCAGAGAATTATAAGCTGTATGCATCTTGAATAATTAATCACTGCTGTTCTAATTAGATGTGTTTATTTCAGCATCTTAACTGGTGATGATGAAGATGAAGAGATATACAGTACTGAAGATTGTGAGTTGGCAGCCAAGAAACGGAAAAAAGATCATTTTAGGAATAACACAGATTCACAATGTAAGGCCGGGTTGGTTGGTGGGTTTTTTTTCATTTATTTTAGAAGACTCTGCTAGATTCAGCAAAATTTTATACTAGCCATTCATTTATATTCATCTATAGAGTAGCCTTTTGAGTTAAGTTTGCTTTTGTATTGGCAACAAATTCTAGTGTCAGAAGTGATACATCTTAATTGAACTGTGGCATGAATCATCTGTTGTGTGATTTTTCAAAGCTCCAAAGGTAATCCACTTAAGAATAGTAATTCCTGAATAACAAATGCCTTCTGACACTAGTCACTGTTTTGTTTTGTGGACTAGTTTTAGATTAAGTTCTTCTGGATGGTTATGGAAACTTCTGCTTACCAAACAAACTGTTTCATTTTTGTTTAATTCAAATTCCAAGTAATGTTACAGCTCTAGAATCAGTTCATAAATAAATTTTGTCATAATACCTATAGCTCTGGTGAAGACTTCATTTAGTTTCTTGAAAATAGTCCCTTTTAAAAAAAAATTAAAATATCAAAGTCGTTTTTGTCAGTTCTCATTTTTAAAAGATCACCTGTATTTTAGACTGCAAATACATGTATGACAGCAAGTAAACTTGCTGGTAAACTTGCTGAAGCAAAGAATTTGGTAGACTAGGTAAAAAATGGTAAGTTGGTAAGCAACTTTTTGGCATTTCTAATGCTTTGATCTTGAAATGATCTCCATTATTTGTATATTCCCAAAATTGTAACAGAGGTGGTCTTCTAGAAAGCTGCGAGCTTCCCAAGGCTTCTCTGGGCATAAAGTATTTCAAAAGATTACAGTGGCTATATGTAAGAGTATGTTGTCAAATGAAAGCATGCCAGACTTCTGAAAGTTAAAGGTCTACCTAGCTGTCTTTATTAGTCTTGTATAGTTGACTTCCCTGCAGCATTCTGCAACTAGCTGAACCACGTGGATGCAGAGCAGGCACCTTTGCAGAAGAAAATAGGTTAGAGGTGTGGAGTGTTCATGAACAAAAAAGTTGCTCATTTCTGTACTTCCCTGTATTATGTGCTAAGGAGCCTGTTGGATTAAAGAAGGCCAGGGGTTTTAGGAGAAGTTGACCGTTGGTACACAGTTGACAAAAGTTGTGCTACATCTGCCAATTGTGTGCTGACTCTTATGTTTGATTTATAAAATTATCTAACTTTTCCTTTATTTTTCTGAAGTACATCTGAAAACTTTTAGTCATCCTTTTCAGCCTTTATAAACTTCCTTCATTAAAACTATTCTTACCATCTCTTCTATCTTATAAAGCATTTTATTGAGGATGGTCTGTTTTGTTCAGTTTCTTTCTAGAAGGCATTACCTAAAGTAACAAAGCCTAAAAATGCTTATATTTTGATTTTATTTTAGGTTTTTATCGTGAAAAGTGGATTTATGTTCATAAAGAAAGCACCAGGGAAGTAAGTCCTGCATTCTGTGGGAATATTACTGCAATCTTTGTGCTTCTTAGTTGTCAAATAGTATACTAAAAAAAAAAAGCATTTGTGCCATGTGGTTTTAGGGGTTATATTCAACTGTCTCTTCATTGGCAACATAGTACACCTGCACATGGTGAGGCAAAGGCAGCTATCAAAGTGACTTTTATGTGGGTCATTGTGGCAGAGATGTGGGAACTTGCAAGGATGGACATATAGTTCTCAACTACTTCTCCAAGCTCATCTGTCTCTATCTCTGCTGTGTGTCTTTGAACTAAAAATGAAAGTATTTGCAAAACCAGAGTAACATCGCCAAAGAACATGTGTTTAGGCAGCTACCTGATATTTTGGAATCTTGGTGTAAATTTGAATGTAAGTAAGTAAAACTTCAGTTCCAGGCTTTACAAAGAGGAGCTCTGTATTCAACAAAGTCTAGATGCTTTCAGTTTGGGATACAAACTGTATCATGCAGCTGTAAAGGGAACATGAAAGATCTTGGAATGACCTCTTGGAAAGCCAAGTGTTAAAATACATCCATTGCATGTAATGATAAACTGTCCTGAAGTTTGAGTTTCATTCCTATGTTGATTCCTATGGTTATCTGGGATGGGTGGAACTTGGACACCTGTAAGGATGTTTTTCATCCACACAGTAGTGCCAGCCAGGAGAGGAGAGGCGAGAGAGGGAGGTGAGTGTGATAAGCCATGCAGGTGAAAGTTGGTTTTGCATGTTAGAGCTGAGGGGGACCATGAGGAACTCTGTTCTTGGGAAAGCGTGGTGTTGTGGAGAGAGCTTACATAGAGGAGACACTGGAAGACTTCACCTTGCAGGCCAGTGACCTGGAGGCTGCCCTTCTACATCTGAAGGGTATTACAAAGCATTTCACCAGATTCATAGCCCTCTTTGCCAGTTATCTTCATCTGTGATAGCTGTAGTTACTTACATTGGACTGCAAAAGTCTCAAGTGTGCTCTTTCCATCTGTGCCGTCTCAAATTTAGGGTAAGAAGGAAGGGTGGATGACAGACTGTCATCAGTCATTATGGTGTTTTGAGTGATAAGGTTGTTAAGCTGAGTTTTCAAACTACATTCAGGCCAAAACACAAATCGCTTAAAATTACTCATTGCTGTCCCTTATAACCTGTATGTTGGGATTATTTTTTCCCCTAATTATGCAAAAGTTAGTGTACTAGTGATGTACGATTATCTGCTTGGCTTTCTTGTCCATTCAGAGAGTGGACAAAATATCTTGGTGTACAAATTAGTTTATTCTTGTTACTGCTGTTGTCCACAGCAGCAGACCACTCACCCTTCCTGTTTTTTGGGTTTTTTTTTTTACATATATAAAAAACAAAACAGAGATAGTGATTAATTCTAACCATCTTTATCAAGTAATTCCTTGTATAAATTCAAAAGCTTAGAATACAAAGTTAAAAGTTAAGTAGCAGAGGGAAAAAGTAGCAAGGAATAAGCATACTTGAACCAAAAAATTCAGAGCAACAACTTAAGCTAATATAAAACATAATTTACAGAGGCTTTAGTTTTCCTTACAGGTTGCAATCTTACTTGATTTGAAAATGGCTGTTTTGCAACTAGGAAACAGTTTTCCAAACTGGATAGTGAATTTTTGGGCAAAATGATGGGAGTAGGAAGGTCTTGATAGGAAATATGTGAAACATGCTATGGGAGGGCACTGAAAATAAAGAAAACCAAAACAAGTGCAGGTATATAGCTGAAATTAAGTAGGAGATGCTCTTTGAATACTTTTGTCATTATGGTACTTTGGGAAAGGTAGAGCTGAAGTTTCATAGAAATCTGCTCCCAGCTGTTCAAGGAAATGTACCTCTCATGTTAATATATTTAAGCATGGCCTTTTGATAACTGTTTAGCCAGAGAACGGCCACAAATATTTAAATTTCAACAAAAGTTTTATTGCCTGTAAGTTAATTCACTGCTATTAGCCACACAAGTTGTGCATATTGTGAAGTATGCAGCATGCCTGGATCTCGGGTATATTAACTGGGTGAGCAAGCAGTACAATCCTGAATTTGGTCATTAACCGATAGGCAGGAATTACCACCACTCTGCAGTGAATAGTTAACTGTCTCCTGTCCCACTGGGGTACATCCAGCGTTAGCTTTCATTGGATTGCAAAAAGGGACGTTAAGTTGTACTGCCATCTTTTCACCATCACATAAGTCACCAAGACAGTATGTCTAGGAATGAACTTCAAATAATTATTTATTCCCTGGGCTGATAAGCCATACTAGCACGCTGCTCAGCAAGTATCTTTTTCACCAGTTGTAGGGTTCTTCTAGCCTCGTTATGTTTGCTCAAGGCTCCCATGTGGCTTTGGGGCTCTAGATTTACCCAGCTTATGTGATCCCATGTCATTTCAGGCTGCTACTATCACCTTAAGCAGTTCCACAACAGTCTCTGGAACTTCCATTTTCACTTCAAGACACCTATGCGGAAGTACTGAAAGAAAATGAATTGCTCTTGCTCTTGGTACCTAAGGAGAATTATGCCTAAACTTCTAGCACTCAGAAAATAAATTCTAGATGTTGAGATAAGTTGTTCTTCCAATCGCAGGAGCAAGTAGCTGTGTTCTTACCCTCCAATGTGAACATAAACTCAGTCAGTTAATGCTTATGGCTGTAAGCTCAGACTGCTGTACAAACAAGCTCTACCTTGTGCTGAGGCAAATGGGGAGCAGGATAGCTACGAGAGAGAGTGCCAGCATTGTGGCCATGCAATAGTGGAGTAGATTCCTGGGACACTCAAATACCAATGATTAGAGTGCATGATTAGTATTCAAAGGCCTTGCTGTGCTTGTGTGTGTACCTGGTAGTTCGAAGTAACATATCTGGTTTCATCTGTTAAGAAATTAAATCAATCTTCAGTCCATATACGTTATATTTCCAGGGAGCATGGTATACATAATCACCAGTTGCATGGCAGAGTGCTTTTCTGAATATTTTCCTCAAATGTATCTTTGTTTCTTTCCATTTAAAGTGTGTTTATTCTTCTTCTCAGAGACATGGCTATTGCACTTTGGGAGAAGCTTTTAATCGCTTAGACTTTTCAAGTGCAATTCAGGACATCAGAAGGTTCAATTATGTGGTCAAAGTAAGCTCTTTCTTTTATATGCATATTTTAAAAATGCATTTGCTGATGTGCCTGTGTTTACAAAAGAAATAATTTTGCACTGAACAGCTCATGATTTGTGACTGTATAAATATCCTGATCAATGTAATTTATACTGCATGAAGCAATGTTAAACTGAGTAATTTTTATTCGGTGAAAATTCGTTACGTTGCTCTATGAAAGCCTGTAGCCTGAGGAGAATGGTGATGGCCAGTATGCTATGTGTTTACAGTGAAACACTGATGGTAGTTTCAGTTGTTGTTCATCAGTCTGGGTAGTGAACTCTCTTTAAAGGCAAAATAATACCTATACAACCAAAAATAGCAAAGCTTTAATACATCTTAAATATACTTTACTACATCTTAAATGTGCTTAAAATGGCAATTTCCAGAAGAATATTTGATGTGTAAATATTCTGCAGTTTCTTAACAGTCCTGTGATTCACTGCACACTTCCCCCCCGCCCCCCCAGGACAACATGCGCACACACACACACATGTATATATATGCATTTACCTTGTTAACATCCCTTAAAACTTGAGAATCCAGCTTTTTCAGTCTTCCTCTTTTTTTTTTCTCCACATCTTCCAGAAATTAGTTTTACTGCAAGCTGTCTATTACAAATAACGTAGTGACATGAAGTTCATAGAAACAATTATGATAGGCTAATCTCATGATTCCTTGGAAAGTCTCTCACTACTGTTAGCTTCTCTGGGTCAGGTCTAATCTTATGTTGAGAATTAAGTGCATGGAACCTGAAAGTTCTGGACAGTGGTGCTATCTGCCTGTTTTCTAAAACTATGTGACTTGTACTTTAGGGAGCCACATAATGTTATGCCTTAGTTTCCTCAATGCCTAACCAGCTGCCCACTTGGAAGTACCTTTTCTGGGAGATACTGATCTTTCTCTACCCTAAGTTTTTTTGTCATTTAACTTGAGACAGTAAAGTGCTTGTCCCAACTCCTAGGGAAGCTCAAAATGTGAGACGCATCGGGACTACAGTTCAGTTCAGCAGTGAGGCTGTTCCCAAGTAATGTAGTGGTTGGAATGCATCCAGAACTTGAAAAGATACAAATCAAAATTAAATAAAACATACCAGGAGAACACCCTTACCGCCAGGCTGTGGAGTATTTGCAGAGAAAACACATTCTACCCATCCTTGTGAAGCTGAGACAGTGTGTTCTACTTCCAGAAAAACAAGAGGTGTGGGACCAAAGGAAACAAAGCAAAAAGGATTTGCTTCCAGGCTAGTGGTTAGGGTACCTAACCTATTTTATTCCACTTGCAGGTTTTTTGGTATACATATGCATAGCAGTTTAGAACATTGCTTTTTAATGCTGTTTTGGGAGCAGAAACAAGGACCTTGATTTCTTCCAAGACTTTCCAGCCATGAACAGTAGGGAGGAAAAAAAAAAAGGCACCTAAAAAAGGTGATTTCTATTATAAATAGCGTCAACCTTGAGTGCTTCACTTGAATGGTAAACAGGTAGAATGAATCCAAGCCTAGAGTTTTACGTTTTTTAGATGCTGAAGTGCCTAAGCTGGGTTGCTCAAGACAGTTGATTGGAACAAAGGGCAATGCATGACATAAACACGTTGACTAGTTTCTCTTCTGTTTGCCAAAGAATATAAAATGGCTGAGTTAGCTGGGCTTAAGATTGTTGAGAAAGGAGCAATATGTTAAAATTCAGAAATTTGGCTTTGTGATCCAAACTGTTACTAGAGTAATAGTAGGCCCTAAGAAATTAGGGTGGATTTAGAATAGCAGGCAGACTTCCAAAATCCTTTCAACACTTCAGAATTTGAGTGGTTTTTTTTTTAATTTTAGAATTATTTTACAGTTACAAAAACTTAATTATATCTTTGCATCTGTTCCTCTGAGGTGAATGAGGCAAGCTGGCTTTTATCAACAGGTACAGAAACTGTGTGTCTAAGACCTTAAAAATTACTCCTCATAAACATGATCATTATAAATGGCAGCTGCTGCTCGTTCTGTAGCTGTAGAACTTGTTGACTTGAGAAACATTTGTAGTGTTGTATCTAACAAATTAAAACATCTGTGTGGATGTCAGTAATATGTGAAGTTGCAACAGATTTTTAAAAAAGGTGTTTAATCTGGTCTATCAGGTTTTAAGCCAGTCTGCAACTGAGACCTAACGTAAGAAGCGGGTCATCCCATATCTGTTCTATACAAGTTCTCATTTACTTCCCTGAAGTTTCTAAGGGTGGAGATGTTTTGTGTAGATCTCACTTAATGCAGTGCAGCAGTTTCTGTTTCTGCTCCTCTAAGAATTACCTGTAGTTATGCATGAACACAATGATGGTTACTTTTATGTGTGGTGTTCTGCTTCTTGCATTTACGATAGTACGATATAAATCAAGAAGACTTTTTTTTTTTAAATACCAAGCCCTATTGGATAGCTCTTTTTTGATCCCAGACCACCAAGATGATCCATTTTGATTCTCCAACTAACTAAAGACCTTCCAATCATCCTTCAAAGTTAATGTGGATGTCTGCCCAGGACCCTTTTAGGGTGGGCAGTGGGGGGATCATCATCTGTACTTTTTTGTGCTGTGGTATAATGATAGTTTCTTAGCTGTTAAATGTCTGATACATTGAGTTTAATATGGATGGTCTTTCTTCAAAAAGTTTCCATTTGAATAAACAGTTGATCCATTCAAAGTTATAATCTCTAGTAGACAACAAAAACCATGGCTATGCACATATAGGTAAGACTAAACTCGTGTCAGATTTTGGTACTTGTGCCCCTGCTAAAGTTGTCTTAATCCTTGCATATTAACCTTCACCGAAATGGGAATCTTCACCAAAATCAACCAGGTGGAATTTGTTTCTTTGATTTGATCTTTATCCTGAGTGACATAACTGATTTTTTTTAAATTAATGAAGAGAAATGTACATACTTGCTTGAATTGGCAAACTGCCAGAGACCTCTAGCTGTGCTCTAAATTATTAATCAAACTAAAAGGCTTTGAAAACGCCAAGAAAGAGGTCCTGATATCTAGTCTCAAAAACTGTATAAACTGATTGCTTGTGTTTAAATCCATCAGAATTATTTCCTCCTTTCATAGCACATAATGTTTTGTCAGGGATCATGCAGAGAAGCCAGAACGAACATTATTAAATCATGGAGAGAACAGGTGTATTCTCTCTTCCTCCAAAGGAAAATTAATGTTGAGCGTAGTGTCAAATCAATGGTTTAGAAATGAAGATACAAAATAATTTTTGGCAGGCTTAGTCTTTGTTCACCCTCTGTGCCAGTAGTTGATGCTGTCCTACAAAGCACAGCTTTGCAGGTTAGGGTTTCGAGCACTCTGTAGGGGATGCTGGTTTCTGCTCCCTGTTTTCCCTTTCTGATGTATTGAGAACACTTGTTCTGAACTCAGCCTTGTGAATTGCAATTGTAAAACTCAGTGCCACGCTTCTAAACATTGCAATACTGTCATAACATCGAAGTCTCTCTTATATTTCGTACTGAGACTGGTTTTTGTTGAAGAGGCGATGGTTCTTGTCAGCTACAAAACTGAATCTGAAAGTTGAAAACAAAGGTGTCAGAATGGAGCAAGGGCTGCCTCTAGTAGTTATAGCCTGGTACTCATGTGCAGCAAGAACTTAAGCTATTCTGGTTACTTCCCTAGACCATTCCCACTGTTCTTGCCACTCTTCTGTTCACAGTGGTTCTAGAGGAAACGTGGACAGCCAGGAAATGCATCTTTCCCTTAACTACATAGTAAACTAAACCAGTATGTATACTGCTCATTATTAGATTGCTGTGGTTTCTTCTTAGGTAAAATACAGCGCTTCCTCTCCATGAGCAGAAAGTAGTGTGCTAAGCCCATCACACCTCTGTTTGACCAGTATGATGCTTTCACTCAGAAGTTGCAAGTCTGGTAGTTGGCATCAGTTCAGAGTAATGTTCCTGGCCACCAAATCTGTCAGTGCATTCAGGATCCAGCCACATCAAAGACCCCATTTCTATTTGTGAGCCTCTGAAACAGACTCCCTCCATTGTTTCATTACAGCTTATAAAGACTGTATGTCATGTGCTGTATCACAGAGATAAACACTAGTATTTGTATAGTATTTTGAAAATGTGCATCTCTTCATGAGTTGTTCATGGGATGCCAGGGGGAATGCCTAAAGCTTTCTGCGTTTGTGTTGCTTCTTTTTCTGAACTCTGTAGTTATGTTTACACAAAAGATGGCTGCCGTGCTGTAGACTGTTGTAGGTGAATATATGTACTGAAAGTGTGTATTTGAAACCATCCTTCTGTCATTCTTCTGAGTTTTAATTCTTTCTCCTAGCTTTTGCAGTTAATTGCAAAATCCCAATTAACTTCACTGAGTGGTGCAGCACAGAAGAACTACTTCAACATTTTGGACAAAATTGTGCGAAAGGGTAAGACCTAAGGTTTTGTAGCATGCTTGTTCAGATTGAGTCACTGTGACTAAGCTATCAGTTGATTATTTTTTTTTTTGTGTGTGTGTGTTAGCTTTATTACTATTTTCACATTGTAAAACAAACCAATAGCTTAGTTAGTGAAAGGTTTCATACTTCCTATCCCATAGTTGCAATAAGGTGTTTTTTCTTGATTATTGAATCACGTCTGTTGAAACAGACTGGTAAGGTTAAATGACAATTAGGTTCTATTCAGAAACTATTGTTTACTATTAAATTATACTCTTTATGAAATGTGAAAGCTTTTAGATTAAGAACAAGTTAGGTTTTCAGTTTGAGTGATGTACCGAGATTTAAAGTACATAACTGCTCTTTGTTATTGTTTATTTTAAAAAAATCTCTTACATAATATTGAAAAAATTTTTCTCTGGTAGCCACACTAAGCGGAATACTATCATCTTTGAACAGAAGAAATTGGGTTTACATCTAGTTGTTCAGCATTAAGTTTATTAAATGCATAGCACGAAATGTTACATCAAATTTGCCTGTGAAATTGTTAATTATTGAGCTTGTGCTTATGGAACAGCATTAATGAATGTCATGGTGGGAATTAGGGCAGCTATTTGTACATAAACGGTTGAGTTGTCATTAGTTCATCTAAGAAAGTGTTGATTAGCTTGAGCTAACTGTATTAGCTTGGTTAACTCAGTTAACCAAAATTGTATTTGGTTTCTTTTGTTTTCCAGTCATGGAAGACCAATATAATCCACGATTAATCAAAGATCTTCTACAGGATTTGAGTTCTACTCTCTGTATACTGATCAGGGGAGTAGGAAAATCTGTGTTGGTAGGGAACATCAATATTTGGATTTGCCGATTAGAAACTATCCTTCTGTGGCAACAACAACTAAAAAACCTTCAGATGAACAAGGTATATTATTAAATCATGCTAAAAGTAATTGGAGCAATGGAATTATATTGAACATTGGTTTAGGATTTGTAAGTGAACAATGTTTCAAATCTTAAATGGTTTTACTTGTTTTCTTTGCTTTTTGAGAAGTAATATGAAATTAACAAAATGGAATCAACTTAATTTTCTAATGTTTTAGTAGCTCTTTTCTAATGAGGGCTGCTACAGTGCCTGTACTGCTGGTTTGTGGTAGAGATGTATAGCTGTAATTGTTTTTCTCACCCAAATCAATTTCAAAAGGCTTGTCTCTGGATTGGCAGATAGAGATGGGAAAAATACCAATTTTTTAATTCCAAAGTAAGTGTTCTACTACTGAAGAAATAAAAAATCTAAAAGGAATTTTAGAGGTGGATCAAGAAAACAGAAATAAAATATTCAAGTAGCAATTTTACAGCTTTATCCATAAGCACAGTTGCTTTTTGTAAAAAAGGATAATGACTTCAGCATCTGGATTCTGATCATGTGATTTTCTTCAAAGCATGTGGTATGCACTGTTCCAGGTTTTCCTTTATAGTGGAAACTTCTGATGATAAGCAGGCAATTTTTTTAACCTGTCTGGGTTACTCCTGGAGGAAAAAATGCTGCAGGACGTTGCACACAGTAAAGTCATACAACCATTTCATCTGTTTGCTTTCAGCTATGAAATTTTGAAATTGTCCTTTCTGTGTGTGCCAGGTATCTGAATAAAACAGCTAATTTTGGAATAGAAAGGAGAAATGGGGACCCCAGTGCCAGCAGTTTTCATATACCAAGCAACCACAGCATAGACAGTTTTGAGATGCTGCAGTTGCTGCGGTTGTTTCTTTCCAGCATGCCACTTCCATCTGAGATGTTTTTCGTTGGCTGAAATAACCGATGAGAAATCTTGCATCTGTAATGCTCACATGTTTCTGAACAGAATGATAGTTCCAGAGATGTTTATAACAGATGACATGATGGAAAGTCTAGTCTATAAGTGAGATGAATGGCTGTGAAATAAACTGACATAAGTGAGAGCCTGCTAGAGTACAGCTGCTGCGCTGCCAGTGCCTTGCGACTGGGCAGCTCTGCTAGGTGGGGCCGGCGGCTGCCCCACCCTCCCTCCCTTGCCAGCTGGGACACCGCCTTCAGCCCTGTTGGTCTTTGTGCCACCTGGCAGTATAGGCTCCAGATTCAGTCATCTATGAGTTGTGCTGTAAGTTGCCCCGATAAAGAGAAAGTTCAGCAGAGGTATATACTCTTAGTGAAAATTTTCTCAGTGCTCTGATTTGTCACCCCTTGCAGAATTCCTCATTTACACATGAGGGGAGCTATCTCCAGAATTAAGAAATTAACCTACTCTCTTCTGCCTATGACTTCCGTAGTGTTCTCATTCTGTATTTCTGTTCTTCAGTTCTGTATTCTAGTTGTTTTAAGGCAGATTCATGTGCTCTGTTTAATAAAAATTGAGAAACTAGTTATCGTACAAATTATAAACAGTTGGTTCATAGCTTTATTATAATTAGGGTTTTAGCATCCTTCTCTCAAAGGTGGAATTGAATATATCGTAACTTTCAAGACTGTATACTCTTGAATTATTTTCTGAGAACAGAAGTGTTCTAAAATTATTTTAAATTTAAATAAAGAATTTAGGATACGTTTGTTTTAACAGTAGGAAAGCTGGAAGTTATAAAGCTACAGTCTGTAGCTCCTTCTGTACCTGTAGTCATTTAAGTTTTCAACAACAGCAGTTAGAGAATAATGGTAGCCAAGTAATCAAAGTGTCACAGAATTAACCATAGATATTTCTCAATGGTTTTGTACAAACTGAACTAAGACCCAAGATACCTCTAAAGTAAGAATCTTATTTGTACCTTATACTGTCAAGTTTTTGTAGCTAAAAGTCTTCAACTCTTATTTCCAGCAAGTCAACAATGGTCTTACGCTTAGCGATCTCCCTCTCCATATGCTGAATAACATCTTATACAGGTTCTCTGATGGCTGGGACATTATTACTCTGGGTCAAGTGACCCCAACTTTGTACATGCTTAGTGAAGACAGACAGCTGTGGAAAAAACTCTGCCAGTACCATTTCGCGGAAAAGCAGGTAATAAACTCTTATCGTTTGCATAAATGTGGCCCTTATCTTTGCAATGTGGTATACTAATACTGAAGCGTGATCCCACCCTTTTCCACCCTTTTTGAGATAAAAATGTGACAGTGTGCAGTAATAGTGAAAATGTTCTCTTGGCGGGAGTGGGGGGGAGAAGCATGTCTGTGAGTTTAGGACAACTATCAGGCTGCTTCCTTGCATTATTTTAAAAAACGTCTACTTAAGATGACTTTTTTTTTTTTTGAAACTACACAATCACCAACAAGTAATGTAGGAATGCCTCCAGAACTTTCTTAATTTTCTGACAGTAATATATGCTGGGACAAAATCAGACTAGGTGAAAATAAAGCTATGAAAATAGAAGTTACCTCATCAGAGCTGGAGGAAGAACTTAAAAACCTAGCGCATTCCAGACTGGAAAAAATGAAAATATACATTCTTAAATCTGACAGGTTGAAGTGGTACCTTTTGGTCAGTGACTGCTAGATTAAGTATTATTATAACAGGAAAGGTACAAGTGAGATCAATTAACTCTTGCAGTTGACCGAATTATGAATTTGCATGAGATGAAAGGCTTCAGAATGAACTTCACAGAGAATATAGACAGACAAAGGCAAACTGAAAAACCCTCCTTTAGAAGCAAGTCAGAGGAATGCAAGGTGAAATTATGAGGATAAAAAGTTTAAGCTTAATGTGGCAGTTGACTGGATTTTGAGGCTAGAGGAGGTAAGCTCTACTGAACAATGACAAAACTGGTTGGAGAAGAAGCTCTTATAGTAAGGTAATGCTGGGGACAAAGATCACTTTAAGCATTTCAGTAGAGTGAGCTAGCCCTGTGCCTTATAAAGTACACTTGTACACAGGGTTGCCAATGAGTTCCTAAATGTTCACATTCAATTTCTTACTAGGTTATTAATGATAGAAATCTAATGATCTTATTTATTTTCCAATATCAAATTCTGCCTTTTCTGTTTAAAAGTGTACTACCTTGATAAGCTACAGAATCTTGCTAGCCTGTTTTTCCCATCCTGTGCAGTATATTTGTTGAACCATTGAAATAACCACAAAAACATACGTGGTATCTGAAGAGCACTTTTGGGGAAAAAAAAAAAACAACTCTACACAAGGAAGCTATTACGAAACAAAGTGAAGTGTAGCTGAAATCAGAAAGGCAGTGCTATTCTCCCTATCTAGGAATTGTCTTCTGAATGAAGAAATCCTTTAATGTATTGGCATTAATCCACACTGAGTGGAACAGAAGCCTTTTACAAATACATACTTAATAAACCTTGGCTGTGTATTAAGCTGGGGAGAAGTGGCTGTTGTGCATCAACTAATCTTTATATGCACATTATGTCCTCAAGAAGTATATCAATCACTGACTATTGGCTATCGTTCTAGAAAGATTGTAAGTAAATGTGAAAAATAATCAGGCATATACTTCTAAAGTGAAAGAAAAAGCATCATTTATATCCGTAGTTAGTCTTAACAGAAAACTACTATTTGTAATGCACAATCTAATTTTAAATATCAATTTTTTTCCTGAGTGTTTTTTTTTTTTTTAAAAGTATAAAATTAATTACTTATGGCTCTAAATATTGTTTTTGTTGTATGGTTCTTGACTATAATTAGAATAATTTCAAGACAGTAGAATTAGATCAGCTGTGTTTGGCCTACTTTTTCTTGGCAAATAGACACCCTCCTATTTTTACTGGTTTACTTTCCATTTTTTTGTGGCTAGATCTCTCTCAGTGCTTTGCAGAGATGTAGGATGTCAGATTATTGACTTCAAAAAATTCCAATTACAAAACTTCAGTGTAACTACCTTTTTTTACCAGTCGTTTTCTTGATTTGACTAGTCCTTTAACAACTTTAAAGGAAGATGTTAATTTTATGTCCAGTTTTGTAGGCATTTGATTCCGTCAGAGAAGGGTCACATTGACTGGAAGCTGATGTACTTCGCACTTCAGAAATATTACCCAATAAAGGAACAGTATGGGGACACCTTGCATTTCTGTCGACACTGTAGTATTCTGTTTTGGAAGGTAAGAGCTTTGAAACAGATAATCAGAACTAAGTTGAAACAGCTTCTGGTGATCATCTGAAAGGAAAAATACTAAGATCATCTTACTGTCTTTCTCGTGAAATGTGATTGGACAACTAATATCTAACTCTTAAATAATATATTAAAACTTCCATATAAAATCAGCGTTAAATTCCAAAGTTTTTCTTTATCTAGCATTCTTATCTCTTGATATTGGATAACCTCAATAGTTAGAATTGCAAGGAAAAGAGCCATGTGGAAAGAGTTGCATTCTGTGTTGTCTTGGAACTATTTAATCTTATGCAAAGTTGTTAGGAACTTCTATGAAGTTAGCCATTTTATGACATCCCTTTCTAATGATGGCACAGCAATCAATACATCTCTAATGAGAACTTACTACTATGGTATTCCTACCACATTGGTGTAAAACTCTTGTCTTTTTGTAATCTTGCTTCTGCCTTATATGAAGCTTGGAGGAATGTTTGAAATTTCATTCAAAATGTGGTTTACGTTGATTTTTGATGTTTACCATGAAGCATATTCTGTCTTGCAGGATGATTTTAATTTCCGTAGGGCATTTTCATGTTTAACTTGCCTGTGAACACAGTCCTGCTTTTACTTTGTGCTGCACCATAATCTAGCCTTCTGGTTAGTGAGACATCTTTAATTTTGCAGCTCAAAGACCAGATATGGGTAGTGCTAAGTGGACAGCAAAGAGCAAGAAAGGTTTGAGAAATCTTGGAAAATACTCTTATTCTGATTTGCAGAAATGAGTTGCTCGTGTCATCTTTCTCTGATTTTAAGAGAAGTTGCATGTCAGTGTGAGGCTTTTTTTATTTTTCGTAGAAAAAAACTGGGCTATTTAACAGGATAAGCTAGCTTTCATATAAATAGCATGTTACTGAATGATGTTGTCTTAAAGTTGAGTATTCTTGATATCACAGGAGCCCTTCCAGGTACTAATGTTTTGCTAAATGAATAGTAGGAAAACAGGTAGTCAGAATTGGCTTCTGCTGTGAAAAGCCTGGGCATTTGCTGAAGAACCTGTGTAAAGAATGAATAAGAACTGTTTATTACAGTGGAATAAGGTTGGGGTTTTTTTTTATCATGTTGCTTAATGTGTAGGGTAAAGGGGTTTTTATTTGAAAGTGGAAATTTTAAAGGTAGGCACACAGCATGCATGCAGGTGGGCATTTTTGGTATTGGATTTGTTTGGATTGCCTGGCTTTGCTGTGTAAAAGGTTAATGCTTTTACAGTAAATTTCTCTCATTCTTATCTGGTATAATTGAAAGTATAGCACTTTAATATTAGAATGACTAAAACGTGTTTGGAATCAAATGCTTAACTTTGGAGATCGTGTGTGACTTACAGTAAGAGGCAGTGAACCTGTGCAGGCAGATGTCTTGTTACCTTGACTACTTCAATCAGCTGTTGGAATAATAGCACTCATTTTATATTTTTAGTGAAACACAACACAGTAAGTTCTAAAGGTACTTTGTTTGGATTGATGAGCAGTACCTACTAGATCACTATTCCAGTCGTGACTGCCTCATCCTGGAGATTTGGGCAGGTCTTAAAGTGATGGTGTGTTTATAGATTAATTGTATGTGTCTACACTAAAATTCTGTAGCTGGTGTTTGGGATTAGCTGTTCTAACAAGAGCATGGTCAGCAGGTTGAGGAAAGTGATTATCCCTTTTCACTTGGCACTCATTAGACTGCATCTGGGATACTGTATACAGCTGGGGGTCCCCAATACAAAAAAGGTACTGATAAACTGGTGGAGTTCAGGTGAGGGCCAAATAATCAGGAAGGCTTGAGGACTTGCCCTGTGAGGAGAGGCTGGAGAAGACATGCTTCAGAGGAACCTAAGAGCCTGCCATGAGAACAGCCAAGCAAGAGAATGGTTTGACCATAGAGGTTATGCAGTTTCCATCCTTGGACGTTTTCAAGACCTGACTCAGAGCAATCTGGTCTGATCTCATAGCTTACCCTGCTTTGAGCATAAGGCTGGACTAGAGACCTCTTGAGGTGCCTCCTAACCTGATTATTCTGATTCTGTACTGTGGCTTTCCTTCTCTAGGTCTTGGAATCTAAGCCTTGTCCCTGTCTTAAAATAAATGTCTGATCAGGTTGAAATAGGTTGTTAAATGAATTCATTTCTGCACAACCGACACAATTACTGACAGGGACACTAAGAGGTTAATCATTGGTCTGAAAAGTAGTCCCTCTGATTACTGGGCAATGTGAGCAACATAGTGCTAGTCATTCTGAGTTACATGGGGGGAAAAATAGTTTGCTTTTTCAGGCACTTGCAACTATATCCTTTCCCAAGCTTTCTAAAGAGAGATGAGAAGCAAAGCAGGAGGCAGGGGACAGCAGGTCAGGACATACTTCATTAATTCTAGAAAAATTCTGTGCTAGGTGAAAATATTTCTTAATTGGAAAGAACTTTTATCAGGCTTTGACAATTCATTCCAGCTTCAGTATCATCCTTGATTAGACAGATTATTCAATATGTATATGAGTGGTTGACATACAATTATATCTATAATGTACAGATTTTTGTTCTCAGCTGAAGCTTTTACTCTGCCTAATTCCATTGGGTGCACAGCAAAACAAAACCCAAAACCAAACTTTAAAGGAGAAATCATGGTTACTTTACAGAGGAAAAGTAGCAAGTGTTTGAATCCTGAAACAAATGGAAGCACTGGGTTTTTCAGGTAGTTTATAATATGTAAAAATTCAGTTTCTTCTTTTAATGGTACACTTCAAAAATCGTGCAGCTTTTGCATTCAAGGGCATTCAGAAGAACTTCAGGTGGTGAGCTGAACACTTCTTGGTATTGCTCTTTTTTTTTTTTTTTTTCTTCCCTCATTCAGGAACAAGGCAAAAACATTGGAATAGTTGCAGAGGAAAAAGTACTCGAGTGATCAGGGCATGAAGAAGACTAGCAGAGGTTAATTTATTTTAACTTAGCTGTGTTTAAAGCTAATACAGAATGTGACTGCTTTCCATAAATTCTTCTCGGAGACAGAAGGGATGAATAAATGTGACACTACTTTGGGAAATAGTTTAGGCTAAGAGACATCCTTGATGGAAATAAGTTACAGAAACTAGTTGTGTGTAAACTTAGGCTGAGAATTAAGAGTTTCTAAGAACCAAAGCAGCAAGGTTCTGAAATAGCCGCAAAGCACAGGACTAGCTAGTGATGAGAAGAATTTTCATCAGTTTGTGAAATTGATAATATAACGTAATTGCTGGCAACGTGAAAGAGCTACACACAGAAACTTCCTTCAGTCCTGTATTTTGTGTCCTTTTAAAGAAAGCCTGCAAAAGAAGGGACTGATGGCTACTAAGTTGAATTAGCAAAAATCTGAAGTGGGGAAATGACTTTTCACTTTTCAGTATGCTATAATAATATTTGTGTTACTTTTAACAAGTCTTTAAGAGCTTTTCAGGAAATGGCATTTGTATTCCCATATTTGTTTAAAACCTGTGACCATAGTAATGCTAAATACAATAAGAAGGAGACTCCTAAATTCATTTTAGGAAGTACAGTGATATAATAGAACATCTTGTACTCCTCCGTGTTAAAGGAGGGAATGATTATAAGAAACTCTTCATATCGAATGACTGCCTTTCAGAAGTGACTTCTTGGTAAAGGATTTGTCCGTATCGAAACTGAGAAAAATGTCGTTTCAGTACTGTAAAAGTAACGGCAGACTAATTATCGACTGATGCCTCTGTGAATGCTTTTTGCATGTACTATTTCTTCTGTTCCACTAGGTAGTATTGCAACTGTGAGAAGTTCTCTTATTTTCTTAGCTCACTCAGTAGCACACTTTGGTTATGCCAGAGATGGCCACAGAAGTTGAAATACCTTTTCTTCTTTCAATACCCTGGGCTTTATGTAAAATAGTGTAATTGTTTTGCATAAGTGATACGCTTCACACTTGGTTTTAGTCTTCCTGGGGCTTGTGCTAGTTGTGCTGGTTTTCGTTCTCCATCTGCTTGTGATTTGCCCCAAGAATAAAAGACTATTTTTCTAAATGAACCTTAGCCTTGATAAACCTTAACTCTGCTTCTTTTACCTTATGGCTCTCCTGCTTCCTTCTTCACGATCTCAAAGGACTACCACCTTGCTTTGTTACTCAAGGTATTTCATGTGTGTCTCATCTGTTTGCATTGCTGACTGTTCTGTAATGTTGAAGAACTTGATCATTTCTAATTGTTTGATGCTTTTTGGTTTGACTCTGTTTCCCCACATCAATTTAGCAGCAGGAACACTTTGTTTCACATTTCTCTATTAGGTAAGGTAGTGATGACATCTCAGTCTTTCATCAGATTTGGTTGTTATTATAGACATATTCCCTGTTAATGCCATTTAAGCTAGGGACCATAATTCAACTTCTAATGAAGAGAGGTGCATGGTGTCAGTGAGATCAGCCAGATTTCACTAATAAATAGGTTTCTCTGCACTCAGTATTATAAACTGTTTCTGCACTCCCTGATGTCTTTAATTCAGTACTTAAATCTGAGACGAGTAACATGAACCTCAGATAACTGTCTTTAGTGCAAAGGTAATAAAATTGATTTTATTCCACTTGGAATGCTGTAGTCATATGTACTTCTATGAAGGAGTCTCTCTGAAAAGAAATTCCCCAACCAGGCTGCATATGACTTGGGAGAGTGGGGGAAGGCAATTAAAATGTTGCTTTCTGAATGAAGAAGCGGTGGAAATAATTATACAGAAAAGGACTGTAGCTCCAAAGTTGTTATGGGAGCTTCTTAAAGTCCAGTTATGATAAAATTTGAGGAGGAAAAAACTACATTTGCCAGTAAACACTCTTCCTGGTGACTTCTCTTGTTAATTTAAGAGAATTCTGTTTTAGCTTTGAGTAGATACATTGAATATCAATATGATTTGAACACTATTTGCTAAATGTAATTTGAAGGGAAATACATTTTTCTTGGAAGGAGGAATACTCATAATTACAGGAAAGTTATGATTCTTCTTTTCAGTCCTCATCCCTTTTTTCCACTGTAAAATTTGTTTCTGTTTTTAATAACCAAGAACCGCAGGAACTGATCTTACTAAGATTTTTATTGGACCTGTAATTCCTGACTGAGCAGAGCTTTCAAAAGCGTTTTTATGATGATGTGCAGAACAAAACAGACAGCATGTTACAAATTCTGCCTAAAGTATTTAGGAGTATAAATAAGCACTGAAAGGGGATAAACCCTAGCTTCTTTCCCAGAATCCTAATTCTGATTGTGTTTTTTCTGGAAACTAGGAAAGTAATGACATGACACTGACATGGCAATGGGTGGAGAAAATGATAGTTCATTAGCAACTACCCTTGGGAGTGTTTTCTGCTGTGGTGTATCTCTTCCTTGCAGATGTCATCTCAAGATGGAGGTGTTGGGTTTAACGCTTCTTGGCCTTGGTCTTCTGTTCTTTCTCATCTGCAGCATCCCCAGATAGGCAGTTCTACCTGGGGTCTAATCTATTTGTCTGTTCTTCTTTGTTTTTTCCCCTCTGTGTCATGAATGTAACAATTGGTTCTCGGGTGATGTTAAAGCAATTATTAAAAAAAGTGGGAGGATTAGGAGGTGATACCACATGATATTTTCATGTAGTCAACTATAGACTTAATGGAAAAATACAGATAATATATAGTCTGTAGAGTAACAATTTTCATTGGAAAAGCTGAGTAGTGTTTAGAATGTGTTTCACCTAGTGCACTGTGGTGTTGCAAAGACATTGGACAGGAATGTGGCATCTTCAACAGCACTTTCCTTACGTAAGTTTCCAAGTGAGAGGAAAATTTCACTTACAGGTTTTTTCCTTCTATTAACTGAATTAGATGTAACTTCATTTTCTACGGAAAAGAAAGAAATGAAGACTGCAGTGGTCTCTGATCTACTTATGTATTTATTCTAGTTTTCTTGCCCCACATGTTGAATTCATCAACACTGGTGGAAAAGGGAGAGAAACCCCTTAAAACCTGGGGAGGACAGTTTCTGAGCCTTACAAGGTTATTGATCAATGGAGAGGTTAAACACCTCGAACTGTCTAGGACCTTGTCATTTCACCTCTAGCATTTCCTTCCTTTAGAGGGTTCTAATAAGGTGCAAAACAGTACTTTTCATTTGAAGAAGAATTTGAATCTTAAATAATCAGACAATTGTGTGGAGTTCAAGTTTCTATGAAAGCAAGCACTGCAGGCTTAGTGAATTTGTAATGACAAAGCCTTTCAATCCTGTTAGTCTTCTGTATTCCTAACTTGCCTGAGCGCTAACTAGTTTAAGGTAATGCTTTTGGGTGGGGAAAAGGCAGGAGTGAAAGAGGAGGAAAAGATGTTGGGGGAGAAAGAAAAACAAGCAAGGTAGAAAAGCTTTTATGACTGGGACTTCAAACATGCTGCTCAGGTTTTTTGGGGTAGTGTCTGTTGGCTTTCACTTTGAAGCAAGGAGTTCATTCCCCCTGAAGTAGTAGTTGACTTCAGATTTTAGTTAAACATCATTTAGGTTCAAAGAAGCAGTTGCTTTTTTTATCACTTATCAAAAAATAATGGATAAGGAATAAGAAACCTTTGTTCAGGAGCTCTGACTCACATTCTGGTTTTGGTAGGTGGAGAGGGGTTGGGTTTTTTTTTTTTTTTTTCCTGAAATCTGAAGCTACCCTGAGTTACCACAGTCAAACTGGAAAGGCCTAATTTCTTAACAACTTAGTCTAAAACAGTTAAAGAAAAATATGGTCAATTCTTAAAAAGAGCAAGTTCCTATCAGTTTGTTTACAGTGGAAGTAGTTGCATGTGCCTGTATGTGAATTTTTGCCTGGTTTTTTTTTTTTGTTTTTGTTTTTTTTTAATTGGGAGTGGAGGGAGACTGTGGGTATGGAAAGAGAACTTACTACTTTTTTCTCCTTTGTTTTGCAGGATACAGGACACCCCTGCACAGCCAGTGATCCAAACACCTGTCTCATGCCAGTATCTCCTCAGCATTTCATCGATCTCTTCAAATTTTGAGATGTTCAGTAGCTGTTCTCCTGTGTTTGTGGCCATTTTTGTGAAGAGTCAGGCAGGATACTTTTTGCTTTTTGTGCAATATATTTAAGTGTAATGTTTTGTTGTAGTTAAAAAAAAAAGATATGGGGGAGATTATTAGACAGGCTTATTCGGTGTATTGTTTTTGTGCAGAAGAGAGCTGAGGAGAAGGAGAACAATAAGAAAATTTCTTTGTCAGGAAATCTGCAGTGGATTTCTCAACTCCAAGAAAGACCGTTTTAATCTCAACTTTACATCCATTCTTTTGACGCCTTAATAGTTGGTTGAAATTATGTGGGGGAGTTTTGAAAATTTCATGGAAGAGTTAAACTACTCTTACAGGCACCAAAGGAGGGTTTTTTGTTAATCCCTCTTTCTTTAAGCCACTGTTTTCAAAACACCTCCATATAATTTGCACTGTTACAAACAACAGGCCAATATTCTCTTGGACTCTTAATATATCAGTTACCAAGGTGGCATTAATCATTGTGAGCTAGTGAATAAAATGTAGCTGTGGTTATATCTGTTGTTGAACCTATGAATGAAGGAAATCAACCAGTCCTTGTACATACATTATGCAAAAGTATTTATTTTTCTTAAGGACTTTATTAAACATATAACCTATCTCAGCACATCCTGCATAACTCAAGAGACAGATCTGGGACTATGGGAAAGTGATTTTTTTTTTTTTTTTTTTAAATGGTAGCTACAGCCTTCATTTATACTGTTTGATATGTCTACAAATGCAACTGCATTCATTCATCTTCTAAGAAGAAGACGTTACTGAAGTTTAATGAGAATGGAGTTGCTTGTTTCTAGACTGGTACGGTGGCAAGACATTGTACTACCAGCTGAGGTTCTAACCTGACAAGTCTTTACAAGCTATGGAAAACACTGAAAGTCAGTCTGAGCTGAAGCACCTTCTGCCGAGTTAATCAGATGATAAATTCTCCAGGAAGCTATTTTATTCTGTCCTGTGGAACAAAATTAATTGCTTGGCCTAGGCAGGTAAAGGAAAAATTAGGGAAGTTGGAGGTTTGTCAATGAAATTTAATAAATAATGTAATGCACGTACTATATTCTGCACTTGTTTGTTCTGAATCTAGTTTTGTACAGTGTAATAAATCATGTTTTTATCTGTTAGACTTCCTAGAAGTTTCTTGTGCATAGAGACGAATCAATCTGAATTTTAGAAGGTCTTTCTATAACCTGTTCTCTGTAGCAATTGGCAAAGGAATGAGAAGCGCAGAAGCAGTCCAAGTGACATTGCTTTTCGGTAATTGATTGTAGTAGCACTTTTCTAATAAGCTAGCTGGACTGTTAATAGGCTGTACAAAAAAAGAATACTTATTTCCTCAGGAGAGATAAGTTTTATTTGCTTTAACTTAAATTTCAGTGATAAACCAACCTTATCTACTGAATTTGCTGCTGGGTAGATTTTTCAATACAGGGGTTTGTGGGGTTGTTTTTTTTTTCTTTCTTTCAGTTAAGGTGTCTGCTGTGGCTATGGTAATGATCAGGTGTGGAGCCGATGACATCCATTCTTACTCCTCTTCATTCAGAACATTGCTGCAAGCCTCACTTTCCCAGCCCAACCACTGCTCTAGCCACTGGATTTAAGGAACCAGCAGCTCTTCTTTAACAAGGGCTTGCACCCCTTTTATTTAACTAACAAAATGGTTACGGACTTGCTTTCATGTCTACGTGACCCTGCATGACCTGGGTAGCCTTGACAGTGGCTGGTGGTGGCTGGCATCCATTGATCACTCCTTTAACAGTTACAGTTTTGCTGCCCTTCGTGAAACTTCCTGTAAATATCTATATGGATGCCACCTGCTCTTTGAGAGCTTTAAAGAAAGGTTCTGAAGCCAGCATTTGGTTTAATATGGGGCTGAGCTCTTCACCTGTCATGCTGACTGAAGGTCTCCCATCAGGGAGTGCAAGGAACCATCCCTCCTGCAGACAGAATGCAAGCTTTCAAGGGGCACACCATTACCTAAGAAGCTGCCCATTACTGAAGGTGCAAATAATGTTGAGAATTGGAGAAAGGTATTAAGAGATCCAAGAGGGACCTCTCCTAGCCTCTAAACTGAGGAGAGAGAGAGGTGACTTACAAAAGGCTTGTAAAAAGTTAAAGGTTTGGAAGAATCAGTATCCATAATAACTAATTTTCATATCTCTTACAAATGTCCTTTCCCTTTCACCATTTGCTGTCTTGCTTGCTCTTCTGTAGCAAACAGCCTCTGCCCAGCTGAAGGATGGGTTCCGAGATGTTGTCCGGTGTAGGCCACAAGCATGCCTTCCCCTGGCAGTAGCCAAGATGACAAGAAGCAGGACTCCAGCTGGTAGCCCTGTGGGCTTCACTCTATAATCACAGAAGGGTTGAGGGTGGAAGAGACCTCTGCAGGGAACCCCCTGCTCGAGCAGGGCCATCCAGACCCAGTTGCCCAGGACCATGTCCACATGGGTTTTGAGTATCTCCAAGGAAGGAGACTCTACAGCCTCCCTAGGCAACCTGTATCAGTGCTTGCTCACCCTCGCAGTAACAAAGTGTTTCCTGGTGCTCAGAGGGAACCTCCTGTGTTTTGGTTTGTGCCCATTGCCTTCTGGTCCTGTCAGTGGTGCCCAGTGACAAGAGCCTGGCTCCATCTTTCCACCTTCCCTTCAGGTATTTATAGACATCGATGAGATTCCCCTGAGCCTTCTCTTCCCTTGGTTGCACAGTCCCAGCTCTCTCAGCCTCTCCCCACAGGAGAGATGCTCCAGTCCCTTCATCTGAATGGCTCTGTGCTGGATTCTCTCCAGTACATCCCTGTCTGTCTCCTGCTGAGGAGCCCAGAAGCTGGTCATGGTGTTCCAGGTGAGGCCTCACCAGGAGAGAGGGAGGATCACCTCCCTCCCCCTGCTGGCATCGTTCCTCCTGATGCAGCCCAGGGTACCATTCACCTTATCTGTGGCAAGGGCAGGGTGCTCGTGTTCAACTTGGTGTCCACCAGGACCCCCCAGGTCCAAAAAGCCAGTAAGGTGACTCTTTAAACCTTCCTTCTAGGTTAAAAAAAAAAGGGGGGGGGTGGAGGAGAGAGACATGCACATGTGCCCTGAGAAGCATTTGAGTGCAGGGCTATTGAATATTTTTTTTTTTTTTTTTAAATCTTAAAGGCTTGGCGTGCAGAATCACACTGTCACAAGCACTGTTACAAGCTTTTAACACTTGGCAAAACTGAGCTTTGGGCGTAGTTCCATAAGCTAGTTAAATATTTAGTGACTGTATCTCTTAGGCTAGCAAATAACTGAGCTTGATAAAAAGTGACTCCATGGTGTGAAGTCATTGGATGCATCAGAAGACAGATTTTAATTGTGTGCTGGCTGCCATATGCAAAGCAAGGTGGGTGCTCTCTACTAGAGCAGAAAGCAGGCCGTGAAACGCATACCAGATCTCTACAGGTTTCTTTTGCTCTGCAGCTTTTGTCCCAAGACCTGGATCTGCCAATACACAGATTTTGCAGGGGCAAGGATAGGAAACAATGTTCTAACTGCGGCCCCTACAAGATCACTTCACAGTCTTGGGCGATTTGGCTTTTATTGAAGTCTCCTGAAAACCAACACTGATTCAAAGGCAATCAAGCCGTTCTTTGCCACAGGCCACAAGGAGCTCACAATTACGATTTTGAAAAATAGGATCTTCCTTCCACCTCCCCCACACCTGCCCCAGCCCCAGTCACCAACTCCACAAGCCCTCTCTGAGAGACTCCAGCCCTGTTGCATTACATCCTCTCCCAGCAGCTTTGTTCTCCTGCTTGTGGGAAAGGACACTCGGCCTGTACGGGCACTAGATGCGGGCCTGTTCTGAGAGCGCTGAGCGAGCCTTTCTCTTGGGATGTCAGATGGGCCTGAGGGCCTCACCTGGAAAAAGCAGAGGAGCAGAACCCTGCTCTTCTCCTTTCCCCTGCTCCCCATCCCTGGAAAACGCATAAACTCACTCTTGGAGAAGGAAGCAGCTGAAATCTGAGGAAAAAAACTAGCTCAAACAAAGGGATATCCCCTAGGAACAGGACTGAAAGACTAGTGGCACTTTGTGGTCTGGAAGGCAGAAGCAATGCGGGCTTGCAGAAGGGAGTGGGTGGAATGGAGAACAGTAGCAGGTTTTGGATTTGCCTGGTAGACAAATTAGCTTATGTACAGCTCCATCATTGGCAGAGGAAGAACTGCTAGCTAAATAGTCTTGCATATGAGTGTACTTCTGAGCCAATAAGCATGAAAGTAATTCATACACTTTTAGAGAAAGGAGGCAATGTGTAAGAGGAAAAATATATTAAGTTTGCATTTATGTGATTGCTCTCAACCTCCAAGTCTTGTCATATATGTATGTATATGTACATAGAGAAAGAGAGCAAGACAGCGCATATGTATTGCTTAAGCCTCATTACTTGAAGTCAGACAATTGCACCAGAAGCTGATTTCATCAAAACCCTTCAAACTTCACAAAATCAGTCATGGGTACTTCAGTATCTGATTCTTTGAAGTAAGTCCCGTAACCCAAATTTAAGAAACCAAGTACTTCATAGCTTTTTACAGAAGACGTGGGGGAAGCACCTAAGAAGTCACTCTGCAACGGCTGGAGAGAAACAGGACACTGAGTCGAGCAGCATACTGAAAATGGCCTGCGTTGCTCAACTTCCGACCAGAGACCAGCGAGACTTCTCTCCAGCAAGGTGAAGCACAGGAATCTTCCTCCAGGAGCTTGTCATCTGCACTCTTACTTTGAGAAGCTAAGGAGAGCTCACCTCTTTCGAAGTCCAGAAGAGGTCCCATTTCATCCCAAATCTTCACAGTTAGAATGCAAATTTTGGGGACTCCCTCTCCCAAAAGCTTTAATTGAGATTGTGTTGTGTCCCATGTCACATTCACCCTCCTCTCTCCTGTGTCGTGGCAGGCGTTGATGCAGTTGCAGAATCAGCCAGTCAGTTCAAGTTGCTGAACCAACCAAAATGAGAAATTATTCTTTCTTTACAGGGATAATTTTCATGGAACCATTCTTCCTCAGTCTTTTCAGCTGAACTGACTCCACTCCCATATAATAATTAATTTTCCTTAGCCCTCAGTCAATATTTAATCATGAGGTTAGATATTCAGGTACTCACCTCAGAAAAAGACAGGGTCAAAGCATCATGGCCAAATGGGGCAGCGACTGCCCACCCATGTGGCATCATACGACCCAGCACGCATACCCCAGCACTCGTCACTAGGAGAGGGGACTATGTCCGACCTCCTGTCTTCCCAACACGCGGTCCTGATGAAGAGAATTTTTTTCCTTCCATATGTATGTTGGGCACCAGACTAAGGCTAGACCCATAATATCCAATTAAGGTTGCCAATTTAATACAAAGAAAGATACAGACATTAAATAAAGCAAACAATCAAATGTTTGGAAATAGTTGTGAAATGATGGTTCAGAACACTGAAGTATTGGCTAGCTATGCTATTCATCTGCACTGTGTCTATGCTTTCAGCTGCAGGGCTCAGCTCCAACCCTATAGAAGACATTGGAACATAATTCCCAGCTCCTGCAGAGCTCAGTAGGATGAAGGTTACCTCTAAACCTTATCGTGTCTGTGCCCAAGGACATGACAGATAGATAAGTGGATTCAGAACGTGGCAGAGGTGAGCGTGCCACTAACGCTGGGTTTGTTTCCCTTCGGATCCCGTGGGCTGGTCTCTGTGCTACACACAGACCCGTCCCACTGCCTTTCAGGCTTGCTGGTAATGCTTATTTCCTGCAGGTTTACGTGTATGTTCTTCTACAAACAAGAATAAAACACACTCAGCTCTGTATTTGTTGTATTTTATGGGTACTTAGTCATTGCGCCTTCAGCTGGAAGCCTAACAATTTTCAAGGCATAAACAAACAACCACCACTGAATTCTCTATTTACTTATTTAATTTTTATATGCTCTTTCCACCCGAATGCTGTTTTTCTGTAGTATTTATAACAAAATAATAACTGAAGAGTAATTAATTTGCTAGGTCGGTTGTCACTCCCACACAACGCTTAGATTACAGAACAAAGTTCTGCATGCTCGGAGCACCTCTCCCCCGTGTTTCGGTCCCCATATTCTCTCAGACACGGCAGTTATTTTTAGATTTTTTTTCCTACTGGAGACTTTTAAAGCTGTAAACCTGTAGTCCCCTTCTTAACTCGACGGTATCCCTTTAGGACTTGGCTAATTTATCAAAGCAATACTGTGGCAGTATCTTCGAAAGTCACCCAAACCAGACACACTTGCTTGTAACGCAGCAGCCCCTGCAGAAACGCATCCCAGCCTGCAGCTCGGCTATTTTGCCTTTTCAGCTGCAGAGAAGGGGAGGAGGCTGAAGGCACAGTATTTGAAGAGGCAGGTTACTGGATGGAGCTGTTTAGTTCAGCTACAACTTAGAATCATAGAATCGTCTAGGTTGGAAAAGACCTTTAAGATCATCAAGTCCAACCATTAACCTAACCCTGCCATCCCACCACTAAACCATGTCCCTAAGCACCTTGTCTGCCCGGCTTTTAAATACCTCCAGGGATGGGGACTCGACCACTTCCCTGGGCAGCCCATTCCAATGCTTGACAACCCTTAAGGTGAAAAAAATGTTTCTTAATGTCCAACCTAAACCTGCCCTGGCACAACCTGAGGCCGTTTCCCCTCGTCCTGTTGCCCATTGCCAGGGAGAAGAGGCCAACCCCCACCTCGCTACACCCTCCTGTCAGGTAGCTGTAGAGGGCGATCAGGTCTCCCCGCAGCCTCCTCTTCTCCAGGCTGAACAACCCCAGCTCCCTCAGTCGCTCTGCTTAAGCCTTGTGCTCCAGACCCCTCACCAGCTTTGTTGCTCTCCTCTGGACACCCTCCAGCAACGCAACATCTTTCTCGTAGCAAGGGGTCCAAAACTGAACCCAGTATTTGAGGTGTGGCCTCACCAGTGCGGAGTACAGGGGCACGATCACGTCCCTACTCCGGCTGGCCAATTCAGTAGTTTAATCCCACCACCACTTAAATTCTTTTTGCAAGCAGACCATAAGCCTTCTACTAATCCTACGTTTAAAGATGCAGTCTTCTGCCACCTGCACTCACCTTCTACATTTTTGATCAATTAAAAGTCTAGTTTATAGGCACAGTAGTATGGAATAGGGCTGGAGAAGTGCATGCTGTGAGTTACAGAGCACCAGTGTTAAAGGCATCCAAAACCTTCATTTTGTACCTGGGCACAGGGAATGTTCTTTCCAATTGCTCATCACAGCCAGAAATCCTGTTCTTGAATAGGATAACCAAGAAAAAATACTAGGAAAGAGGACTAGCTCTGCGTTAGTTCTGATTCTCTAACACTAACCGCCTGGCCTAACAGTGAATATTAATACTAATCCCCCTAGGAACAGTCTCGAATGTTCTGGATTTCTTACTTCTCTTTATACTGTGCTTCAGTCCTCGATGCCAGACCATCTGCTCCTTCACTTGTCTTGAAAACCTTCCCCCTGTCCCCCGTGCAGCCAGCTCTCGCCACACAGGTCAGGAGATCAGATCTTCCACCGCAGCAGAAGCTGCCAACAGGCCATCCCATCCGCCTTGGCCGCAACACCTTG